CCGATCGCGCTGCCTGCGAGTGGCGCTAGCTAAGGACATTGCTGGCAAAGAGTCGGACTCTTTGGTCCAGGAGCTGACCTCAGAGGAGGATGAAGAATCGGAGATTCCCCTGGAGCTTACCCGTGCGCCCAGCGGACGTTTTGTGGCGCGCCTACCCTTTCTCCCGGGTCCCGCGCCGACCAACAACTTCTTCTCGGCCAAACACCGACACGACCGTTTGCAGTCGCGACTGATGCGCGCCGGAATGACCGAAGAGTACGACTCCAACCTCATGGAGTACGTGAAGAACGGACACGCAGTGCCCGTAGAACTGGAGGAGCCCTGGATGGGTGACGGCTTTTACATGCCTCACCGCGAAGTGATTAAGGAGAGTAGCTCGACTACCCGGTTTCGGATCGTCTTTGACGCGAGTGCCAACGCGCCTTCTCTCAACGAGCGCCTGTTCAAAGGCAACGCTGAACAGCTCAACTTATCGGCTAATCTGATGAGTTTCCGAAGACACCCGGTCGCCGTGATCGCTGACATTAGCAAAGCGTTCCTCCAGATCGAGATTGCTCCTGAGCACCGCAAGTACCTGCGATTTCTCTGGAGGACAGACGAAGGGCTAAAGATCTACGAGATGTGCCGACTACCTTTCGGCCTCGTCTCAAGCCCGGCAATTTTGATGACCGCCATCAAGCGGTTGATCGACGAACACGCTGAGAGCCACCCCTTCAGTGCCCCTTTGCTGCGCGAAGCATTCTACATGGACGATCTGGTATTGAGCGTCCCCACGGTGGAAGATGCCGAGCGGCTTCGGCATGAAGCCATGGATATTTTCGCAAGTGCCGGATTTACCCTGGCCAAGTGGGCCACCAACGTGCCTGACCTTCAAGTGAAGTGGAACGGTCAGCTGAGCGCCGAGCCGATGAAAGTGCTTGGCACGCTGTGGAGCATCGGTAAAGACGTCCTCTCGGTGAAGTGCCCGGAAGTGCCCGAGCTGACAGAAGTGACCCCTCGAAGCATGATGCAGTTCATCGGGTCTGTGTTCGATGTGCTTGGTCTGTTGGAGCCTGTCAAGCTCAACTTGAAGAAGTTAGCGCGTGAGGCCATCGTGCTGAAAATCCCGTGGGATCAACCTGTGCCTGAGGCTATAGCCAAGGGTTTTCGAGCCGCTGTTAAGAAGTTCGAGTTCTTGGCAGAAATCCAAGTGCCGCGCCATTTGCCTCGACCGGCGTCCGTCTCCTTCTTTTCGGATGCATCAGATTCGGGCCTCGGCTTTGCAGTTTACTTCACGGACGGACTGCAGCGCAACCACTACGTCTACGGGAAGAGCCGCCTCGCGCCCCTCAAGCCGCGGACAACTCCCGAGCTTGAGTTGTCTGCACTCGCAGAAGCAGTTGAGCAGTTGCCGTTTCTCTGCAAACAATTCGACCTGTCTGGCGTACCACTCTTTTTCTGGTCGGACTCGTCGATTACCCTGCACCGACTGGACAGCAACCTCAACCGCCATGGAAGTTACGTGGCCAATCGTCTCGTACGCATTCATCGCGTCTGCGAGAAGTTCCCAAGTAACTTCAGATATGTGCCAACTAAACTCAACCCGGCGGACACCTACTCGCGCCCTGCAACTGTGCCCC